CTAGCAGGGGAGGATCCAAAGAGAAGAAACTCTGAGGGTCCACCTGCTAGGTAGCTGACTATATACTGCTTGTCCGTAGCTGCCGCTGTCAGGCACAGAAGGCTTGGGCGGCGTCGCAGGTGAGGTCCCAGGGTGACCATCGGGAGGGCGTTGACGGATCGGTGATTGTGCGGGCGAGATGGAGGGCTGGACCGGAGTCGGAACCGGAATCGGACCAGAGTCAAACGTGTCTCCAAGGGGCTGAAAGGGGGGTTCCCCTGACAACCAGCGGCAATCCGGTCGCGGAACTCGTTCACAGACTCCATAGCGGAGCAGACTCCAGGTTGGAAGCCCATGCGTGGTAGTCGTCCTGTGTCCATCATAAAGGGGACTTGCTGCATGGAGGAGTGAACGTTATTGTAGGCGAACTCCGCGGCCGGAATCAGCTTGTCCCAGTCATCCGGATTCCCGGGTGGTCGTCCTGCTGATAGTTGGTGAGATCCGCAGGTACTGCTCCAACTCCTGACTGACGCGCTCTGTCTGACCGTCTGTCACGGATAAGACCTGGCCCGTCCGCTCCGGGCGCTGGTGTCGGGCCATCGCGGGCCCGTAGCACGCAGCACGTGACGACGGGGAACATGCGCCCCAGTAGGAGGAACGCACACGTGGGAAGCACGTGACCGAGAACGACGCGTCGAGCCGTTGCCGAGCCCAACTCGACACAAGGGGACTGGGGAGGAGTGCTAGGAGGTTAGGAGTAGCGCCTGGCCCACAAGGGATGTACGATCGTCCCCTCTGCGGCCAGGAACGCGAGCGAGGAGGAGAAGGAGAGGCCACGGTGTCCGATCACCCCCCTTTGCAGGCCCGTATATACGGAGCGATAGTGTACCCTGTACCCTATCGCTTAGATCGTCTGAAGAACTACCTTACTCCGTGCAAGGAGACGTTATCGACTTATCGGGCCCGACACGACCCGATTCGAACCTTCGACCACCGACCACGGCAAGGGACCGAGTTCACGGGCCCTTTCGGTTTCGATCTACCCCGCCCGCTGTACCTGCGGGCCCGACTATCCGTCTGTTCTGTTCCGGGCACGCGTTCTTAGGAGAGGTCCTTGCACGGCCCGATCCGCAGTCTGACACCGTCCATCTGGGGATGGTACGCGGTGGACGTGGCAGCCTTGATGCTGATTAGACGCCAGAGCTCTTGGATGAAGTGCGCGATAAACTGCGACCCACGGTCAGAAACGTACTTCTCCGGGGTCCCGTAGTATCGCCAGACATTCTGATAGTAGAAACGGGCTGCTCCTACCGTGTCAATGGTCGTATGACACTCCGAGAAGTGGGCGTGCTTTCCGAGGGTGTTGATGACGACCATGATTGCGTCATACCCATGGGCCTTGGGGAGTTCGACGATGAAGTTGACGGAAACGGTATGCCAGCGTTCCAGGGGCGTTTCCATCGGGTGCAGCTTTCAACCTATGGGTGGAGCTCTCCGTAGGGCAATCTCCGTAGTGCCTTGGTGCGACAGCACAGGTCACAGGTTGCGACGTACCGGCCAATATGGCGAGACATCTGGGGCCACCAGTAGTTCCGGGAGACCAACTCCAAGGTCTTAAAGCGACTGGTATGTCCGGCGACTCGAGTGTCATGGCAGAGCTCGATGATGGGTCTCCAAAGGTCCTTGTCCTTGGGTACCACAATCTTCCAGTGGAAATGGAGAAGACCACCGGAGACGGCCGACTCATCGGAACATGATGAGCGGGGGCCTCGAGCTTGACCTTGAACCTTAAGAAGTTGCCGGGCCGCTAGTGCGACGGGCTCCTCCAAGTCAGGCTCACCGGAGAGGGCATCACGGATGTTGCGGAGGAGTTCAGAGCCGGGACCGGAAACGGAAGTGGAAGAGTTCAGGCCGCAGAAGGACGACGACATCGGAGTTGTCGGAATCGACTCCGTGGTCGGGTCTCCGGGAGAGGGCGTCAGGTCGACCCATGTCGCAGCCAGGCTTGTGGTGCAGCGTGAAGTCAAACCGGGAGAGGTACAGGGACCACCGGGCCTGTCTCCCGTTGAGGTGCTGCGTCTTCCTGAAGTACTCCAAATTCTTATGGTCAGTCCAAATCTCGACAGGGTGGCGCCCTCGAGGAAATGTCTATACTCCTTGAGTGCGCGGATGATCGCAAGGATCTCCTTGTCGTGGATTTCGTAGTTGTGCTGGACATCATTTAAGCTGTCATCCGGAATCGCCAGAACCGGTTCCGAGGTGACTGCGTCCTTGATTGCTTGGAACGCGGAGGCCTCCACATCGCCCCAAGTCCATTGCTGGTTGTTATATCCCGTGCATCTTCGGACGCTCCGAGGTTATCCTAGGAGCACAACAGGGTTTTTACGCAATGAAGGTATCCGAGTGTTTCCCTTCAAACAGTTAATCTGCGCGCAGACTCCCTCGGACCTGTTTGGACCCTCCGACCATCAACTCGGATCTTTACCCATTTGGACTTGCGTTTGTTTACTTATATCCTTTAGGTGTTCGCCTTCTTTCCTTTGCCTCGTGTATGTCTTCTCGTTCCCCTTACTTACTATGCCTTTGTACTTAACCCACAGGGAGATCCTGCGGACCACATCGGATCTCCCTGCGAGGTCATATGCCTTATGCTTACCACTTAGTATAAATACTCGTACTCTACAGTCCTGTACTTCAGTTTTGTTATTAACGTTTCTTGCCTCGCTCTCCGCTCTCGTCTGACTCCTCCCGGCGTGCTAAGCCTTATCGCCTTCGGCTTCTCCGAACGTATCCGCAGGAGTTCACGTATTTGTTCAGACTTGCTTTCGGCCTGCAAGACGTGTAGTCGCTCACTCCGATATAGTGTTGTGATAGCCACTCGGTTCTGCTTCGGACTTTCCGTTACTTCCTTTCGGTTCTTGCACGGCACTTAACACTGGTCCTTCTTGGTGAGCGCGAAGAGAGGACGCGCGAGGGCGGAAAAGTCCTGAATGAACCTGCGGTAGAAACTAGCGAACCCAAGGAACTGCTGAATGTCCTTCTTGTTTTCCAGAGTCGGCCAAGTGGAGACGCATGCGACCTTGACGGGGTCCATTTCAATGTGGTTGTGGGAGATGATAACTCCGAGGTACTCGATTGACGATTTTTCAAAGTTGCACTTCTCCGCTCGAAGGTACAACTTGTGCTCTCGGAGTCGCCGTAAGACCTTCTGAACAATCTGCCGGTGTTTCCGGAGGTCGGAATGGGTGATCAGGATGTCGTCAAGGTAGATCATGACGTCTCCGGAGAGGATGAGGTCCTGGAAAATGTCCTTCATCATCGTTTGAAACATCACGGGAGAGTTTGTCAGGCCGAAATACATCACCAAGGGCTCAAACAGGCCTCGGTTAGTCCGGAAAGCTGCTTTCCACTCATCGCCTTCTTTGATTCGGACGTTGTTGAAACTCCAATAAACGTTGAGTTGGGTGAAGTAATGAGTGCCTTTGAGCCGGTTGATGAGGTCATTGATCAACGGGAGGGGATACCGGTTTTGATGGTCATTGTGTTGAGAGCCTGGTAGTCCTGGACAAAGCGGAGTCCGCCATCCTTCTGTTTGACAAAGAAGACCGGAGATGCCATCGGAGAATTGGAGGGACAAATCCGGCCCATTGACAGCCTTTCCTGGATGAACACGTCAAGCTCACGTTGCTCGAGGGGCGAGATGGGGGTATACCTTGCAGTTGGTGGGCTTAGGGTCGGGGACGAGTTCAATGGCGTGGTCCCAAGCTCTCCGCCCCGGTAGCGTGTTGAAGGGCTCCTTGTTGAAGACGTCCTGGAACGGCTTAGCCCAGTCCGGGATGTCAGAGGGCAGAGGGGTAGAGTTCCTAGCAAAGGCTTCGCCCAGGCGTTGCGAGACGGTACTGCCAGCACATATCTCCTCTGAGGGATGGAACGAGGTGTAGAAGATGCAGTCACCATCTTCAAGTTGGTCGTCATCGTCGTCCGAGTCCGAGTCCGAGTACGGTGTCAAATCTGGCAGGCCGGAGTCAAGTCCAGAATCGGAATTGTCTCTGTCGTCGGGCCCGACAGGTCCATGGCGTAGATCGAGGGGAACGGGGCGGAGCGGAGTCGCTTCTGAAGTAACCGGAGTCGCCGCAGCTTGGTCCATTCAGCGCGTTCTTCCTCGCGGCAAGTGGAGCAGCCCACAGCGAGGAGTAACTCAAGATGAGGTCTTGTTTGCCAAGGTGAGTGACGGGGGGCGGCAAAGGACGATGACCGGAGTCACGAGTCAGAGACGGAGTCGAGGCGGGGGCAGGAGAGGGTGTGTTTTTTTTGTTTCGGGCTCATTGTAGGGCACAGAACTGCATTCATCATACAAGGAGGCAAAACGATTTATGGACGCGAACGAGGGCACACCAGTCACTCGTCGCGGAGGACAAAATCCTCTCTGGCCATTGACTCCGCTGCTGTCTCCGACAGGGCAGCTGTGTCCGTGTAGCGGGCGATCAACTCCGCTAACATCTCGTCACCAGAGTCAGACCGGAATCAGACGGATCTCCGAGGGGCCGAAAGGGGGCTTCCCCTGACAGATTTTCAAAAGGGGAAAATATATTATCTATGAAAGGATAACATACAAATTTAAATATTCAGAGGTACCAATGAGGGTTATACAATATCAGTAATTGGTGATGTAGTTTGAGAGCCCAAAATTGCCTTTTTAGGCAATTTAATACATCCCTGTTTTGAAATTGGTTTTTAAATGCCCCAGGTATTAAAAACAGGATGTAAATGTCTAGGTATTTTAATCCTGCATCCTAATCTGATTCACTAACACCGTACAAAATGGATCATTATAAACGCAATTGCGCTAACATAGCAACTAATATCTGGTCCGACCGAGTCTATGCCCGCTGCGGATGCTCTGCATGCGGTATCTCCACCAAAAGTACCGCCCGCCCATACACATAGTCCACCACTGGCTCGTTCCCCATTGCAATATACGCCGACTCGGCCCTATTCCTCTCTTCTTGCGGTTCCGTCACCTAACACACCGACACCAGCTGCTCGTCATCGTACAGCTTAGTCCACGCCTGGCGCCCCGCCGCGGTTGTGCGCACAATCGGCTGCCCCGCACGTCTCAGCTCGTCATCGACCTCGCTGTCCTCCGCCAACCAGACCCTCCGCAAATCGAGCACGCTGTCGAGCGCCATGCGCACGCCCTCACCACTATCGTAGTCCATGTTGCCCGGCGTGATATACACAAGCTTGAGCGTCGTCTTGAGCCCGGCCCGGGCTGCCGCACGCTGCATCCGCCCCCTTGAGCATATAGAGCACATTGCCGAGGGTGGTTGGGTCGGAAATCGTGCGCGGGACAGGGTACTCGTGCTCGAGCCCAAAGCTGAGAAGACCGCCATCGGGCAGGAAAGCGGGGTCGGCAAGCAGCGCAGCCAATGCACTCTGGCAGGCGACCTCAACCTCAAACAGCGGCTGTCTTGTGTTCAGATGCAGCGAGGACGATTTTGGCGAGATGAGCAGATTGTAGGTGAGTGTGACGTGATGGCCGGAGACAACGGGCTCAACAGCATGAGTGACGTCGCTGAAGAAGGCGACGTATGCGATTGACCCGCTTCCACCGGCCACTCGCACCACAGAGTCAAAGGTAAACGAGTTTTTGCCGTGTGATAAGTTAAGTTGTCCGCCTCGGTGCTCTGTGGGAAGAACAATGACGAGCGAGCCGACCATGCTTCTTCCACGGGGCGTGTCCTTGTGAGACTTGAAGAAAGAGCCAGGGCCCAGAGGACATTCAATAAAAGGCAGAACTTTTCAAGCATTGAACTCACCATACACGTTCAGCTTATACAGCTCCGCCGTGATAACTGCGTCCCCACGTCCCTCGAGCAAATCCGGCGTGATTTCATCAAGGATATTAAGCGTCCCGATATCGAGTGAGGCCGCAAAGTCGCTGCAGTCGAGTTTCCCTGCCTTGCGGTAGCCCTCGTCAAGCACGTCTTCCGTCCCCCGCCCAAATGTCACAAGCCGACACGCAGCAGCGAGGTCCTGCAGCTGTGCCTCCGTTGCCTCTCCAAAGTTGAGCATCGCGAGTCTTCAAAAAAATGGTCATTGTTGGAGCAGCAGCAACGCACAAAGCCCACCGTTCATCGCCAGCGTGCTTGTAGAACAGCATCAAGTCCTCACGCCGGACATCAAGCACACCGCATGTCCATGGCGTAGACTGCTTCATCGCGTCGCGCAGCGCCGAGAGGTGCGCTTCCGCCATTGTCGTCGTTGAGGAAAATAGGGACTGCCCCTTTTCGTGTCGAGTCATTGACACGTGCCCGTAACACGTGTCGCTTACCAACCCATTTCCCGCCTTCCCCAAGGCGCCGAAATTTGTCTACAGATGCTAGACTGCCAACTACTATGTCCAGCGCTTGCCGACCTGCGCCTATGTGTCCCGAACGACCTCTCCCGCCCCCGCAGCCTTCGAAAGTCGCCAGATCGACACTGGAAATAACAAGTGTGTCAGCACGGATGCCGAGAGAACAAGGAGGAGGAGAAAACGCACCACTCCCACATGGCTGCAAGACAAAAGGCGCTCGACAGCGACCTTGCCCCTTGAATGGTGGGGAAAGAATTAGGTAGGAGCGGAAGAGTATGGCGCACAACGAGATACACTCGATAGAGCGCCAGCTGCCAGTGCCGCATCGTGCGAGATATGTCGCCGTCTTTTGGTCGGCGGAGAAGCACGTGACTTGCCATTTTGGGAAGTCGACGCTGATTGCTTGTCCAGGGTGCAGGCGTGAGCGGGGAGGACGGGGGAGGGATCGGAGGGGAGCAGGGAGTCATAGTCAGGGTGTATAGGCACACTTGAAGAAGAAGCTACAATGGTCCACAAGCTGGACCCAAATTGCCCACTGTCAAAGTCAGTCGACATCGGTCGGATACGAGTATTCAGCCCCAAGACTACAGGCGCAGTCAGCGGATATGATGTCGCAGCGATGGATGAAGATTTGTGCTGCTATTTGCTCCCGACAATGAAAGCGGCGGCTTTGCTCCTCGAATCGACAGAAGGAGATGGTGGTGTACATAGGAGTGTGGAGATGTACCACGCTGGATACGCTGGGTGGAGCGAGATATGTGGTCTTCGAAGGGTGACGAGTGGCAAGCAGAAGGAAATCACGACCGAATTCAAGGGCGGGCTGGTCTTGTGTAGTAGGCAATAGCAAACAGGAATCGTCCGGACTCCGCAAACAAGGAGACAAGTTGGGAAGGTCGCCAACCTTGATGGCGAGCATTACTTGCATGCCGAGAAGGTTCTGCTGCATGCAGATACGACAACGCGGAAGTCGTTGTAGTGTCCATTGTATCGTGCCGAATTGTTGGGCGAGCCAGGCTGGGAGGATATGGCGGGTCCGTTAGAAGTGCGCAATAAGCCTGCGGCGACGACGAAGATGATGAAGGAGCAAGAAAATGGGGCGGTGGGAAGCAGGACTTTGGAGGAGCAGGTCAAAACCGGGTTGTCAACAGGAATATATAGAAAGACAACTCACACGAAGTTCCCATATGACCGCGAGCGTAACTCGTCCAAAATCGTCCGCTCTGGCAGCAGCGGGCTCGAAACACCGTCGTCTCCACGCCTGGTGTAGCTCCGCACAGTGGCCAGGGAGAGGGATCGACAATCATGGCGTGAGGTCGAAATAGGAAAGCGGGCAGCCAGGCGCAGTCGCATATGCTCCCAAAAGCTAGGGCGGAGGTACTAGCTACTTGTGAGCTTCGAGAGCTCGTTTACGAGGAAATGGAGACACACCTTCTGCTCCCAGTGCCTCCCACCAGCGCTCCCGATCTCCCATCCTCCTGCCTCCCCCAATAGCACACTACGTTAGGGCGCTGCCTATCGCGGGCAGACCCCCAGGCGCAGCTACAGTCATTGCAGGCGAAGGAGTCGGCCATGGTTGTCGTGTGGAAGTGGAGAAGAAGATGGGTGAGATCACGTGCTCGGGCCGATCTCTGTCTTCCGCAACGCCTGGAGCCGTAGTGGTAAAATCTAGGCTAAATCTGCTAGCAGCCTGCTAGCACCTCCATTGCCTAAATGTCTAGCTTCTGCCAGCCAGCCTTTAGCTAGCATGTTGCTGGCTCTTACTAGAGCCCACCGTGACTTATTGTGACATGTGTGACTATTATTTATTAATATTATTATTCCTTATCTAGCATTATATTAGTGATGGGAGTGATGCTATCTGAGTATTATTTTGATTGTGGAACCAATTTTGATAGCCATCACTGATTTTGATGGCTCTATGATACCACGTCATTTCTGTCCCAATTAGGATAGTAATTGATACAGGCCTTCCTCACTATATACCGGGTCATCGGCCTGAAGAAAAGGAGTTAAACTTCCATATATAGTAATATCTTAGTCATATCAATTAATTTGATGTATCAATACTGATTTTTGATGACTTTGTAAGCACTATCTAGCCTAGTTCTGCTAGCAGTAGCTAGACTAGCAGGATCTAGCCTTCTAGGCAATGGGGGTTCTAGCAGCTACTAGAAGGGCTGCCTAGATCTTACAGCTATGGGTGACGCCTGCGACTGCTTCCTTCCCCTCCCACCTTTCGTCAGCCAATATTGCTCAAGTGGGCCAGGGGCCCATGATGGACTAATACCGTGGCTTCTACCTACTCACATGCGCGCGTCACTAATACTCTGCTTGGCTCACCGACTCTGGATTCTGTGGGCACCAAAACATGGCAGATAGAGCTCGCATTCATAGCTTGAGGAGGCACTCATCGTGCTGCGTTGTCTCCATTTGTAACGCTAATTATCTCCCCAGTATCTCTGCTTCAAGTTCATCTCTTTGGCGTTTATTGGTCTTTTTCTACAGTATCTACTACACGGAAACGGCGTCACCGTCACCCACCACAACGGCGCAATGTCTTCAAGTGTCCCACTCAAAGTCAGCCGGTGGAGGATTTATGTCTTGCGGTGGTGCGTATGCCGTATTGGTGCTGAGAAAATACAGGAGACTGACTTGATGGGTAGGATTAACAAGGGCCAAACAAGGGTCTGACGCCGCCCCAGTGTCGCGTCAATATCGTTTCAAGCACGGCAACCCAGAGATCGTTCCTCTCTTCCATTTTGCTTCAAACCCTTGTCTCACAGCGAGACGACTCAGAGCGATACTGTAAGATTTTATTCAATTCGTATGTCACATGTCACACGACCGATGTTATACGAAATTTTTTCGTATGTCACAGCAAAAAGTGGATTTTGGCTTCCCAAAATGGTAATTTCTCACAATTCCAGCACCTTCGGCGCGCCAAATTGCCAAATGGGGAACATCATACGAATGTTTTCGGACATCAATGTGTCACAGCCCCCCGGGCCATTCGAATTGAATAAAATCTGACAGTACACTAGTAGAAAGACAGGTACGTCAACTTGAATTCCCCCAAGTTTCGTTCAGAAATTGGAATTGAAATGTTCTCAGGAGATACCAATATGCATTGCACACGCTTGCCAGTGGCGGTGTCCCAAGCACATGTGGTAGCGGCGGTTGTGATAACTTAGGGCGATGCATGATTCCTCTGAAGTTCATTGACTGACAGCGGATTACGACGCAGCACGCTCCGGCGGACATCCCTAACAGCCCTAATGCTTGCCCATACTTGGATGCTTCATATGCACGCCCTCCTGCGCCATCCTGCCTATACTTAATGATGAGTAGGTAATATAGTAATCCTAGTTTAACTAAGGATGTACTACTTACTGTAGTAATTAGACCATAAGTTCACGTACTATATCAATTTATTCAATTCGGCGGTCACGTCACACACGGACCTCCGGCGCCGAAATATTTCGGCGTGTCACAACTTATTATTCAGATGCCGAATGTCAGAGGGCCATGTAAGGGCAACCCTGGAGGCCTGAGATCAAGGTCTAGCAGGGGAGGATCCAAAGCGTGAACATTGTTACATTGGTAAGCAAATACAAATGAAGCTGACCTAGCAGGGGAGGATCCAAAGAGAAGAAACTCTAAGGGTCCGCCTGCTAGGGAGCTAACCGGAGTCGGACCGGAATCGGAGGTGTCTCCGAGGGGCCGAAAGGGGGGGTTCCCCTGACAGGCCATCAGAGCATCAAAATTTCTCCGGCGGCCCTCCGGGCCGCTGAATATGCCGAATTTTTTCGGCGGTCACACAGATTACCAGGCAGCGCCGATGTCACGCAGTTTTTCGCCGCCGAATTGAATAAATTATTACAGTAATGCGTAATTGGGCCAAAAAAACATAGCATTAAAATTCATCTAAAATCAAAAGAAAATTTTTCGGCCCTCTTAGGCATGAAAAAATTCAAAATTAATGAACGTATGGTCTAATTACTACAGTAGTAGTAAGTAGCATTACAAGTGAGGAATATATACATTCCAGTTAACATTGATGAATGTGTCTGCGGGGAGGGAGCGTAGGGTTGTCAGCATGAGCGTCAGAATTAACGCTCGTGCCAGACAATAAATGACCCCATAGAGAACCCAGACGAATATGAACAATACCCCTAGCACCGGTCCCACAACGTCATCCCAATCCTCTGGTAACTTTTTTCTAGTGTCACTGCGTGAAAGGTGCTGCCACAGAAGGGAGATGACGAGCCAAGAGAGCTGTACGAGTGTTAGAACCATGAAGTAGACGAGAAAGGGAAAAATGAAAATCGCCGCTACTGCACTGATTGAAGCTGCAGAGCTGCGCCAAATCCACATCTCCACGGTGCTAGGAAATTCCGCAAACCATACGATACAGTGTATGGCACCGAAAACAGATCCACAGACTAGCTCGAGAACGAGGGAAAATAAAACGAGAAGATCTGGAAAATCTTCGCTGACTCCGCACCAAAACGCGGGAACAGAAGTTGCCGAGTTTAGATTGGCTACAGAAGAGCTGAGCCCCCCAACAAGAATGTTGCCCAGGTGATGGAGGATCATTTCACCGGGGCTCGGCTTGGATGAGCTAGATGCCGCCGCACGACTGGGGATTTTTCTAGCTTCCACTGGCAGGAGGGCTGGAGCCTGTTCAACAACCACTGGTAGTGAAGTTTGTACGGCAGATGCTTCCAGGTCGGCCGCTTCAGCGTCCCCAGTCGAGTCTTGAGTGCCAATGGTACCTGGAAAGCGGGAGCGCACACGATCCAAACTCTCGATAAAGTCTGTGCCGGCTTCTGGAAGGTCTGGACCCGCAGCGAACGGTTGTTCGAGAGTCAAGATTGTAGTTTTGAGCTGGATCGGTT